GCCCAGTTCATTAAACATCTGCCTTTGGCTCAGGTCATGATCTCAGGGTCCTGGGATCAAGCCCCGCACTGGGGCTGGGTTCCCTGCTCAGTAGGGAGTCTCCCTCTCTCTCTGCCCTCCCCCGCAACTTGTGCTCTCACTTTCTCTCTCAAACAAAGAAAATCTTTAAAAGAAGAAGAAGAAAAACAAAGTTCCTCCAAAGCCTATCGATGATGGGCAAGAAAGAAAATCTGCTCCATAAACGCTCCTAGAAAATCTTATGTGCTTCACTCATATTTTTTTCTCCCCCTCTGCATCCTGTGATTATTCTGACTACAAGGCTGTGCTTTACCATCCTGGTTCAGACTAATGGTGGGTTTTACCTACTTTCAAGAAGGCAGGAAGCAGATATTATGAGGTTACCATAGGAGTTTTTAATCACAGACTAGTACCAAAATATAGATATGCAACTTTGTCAGTATCAGGTTGAAGCCGCAGAATTAGGGGTACTGATACATCTAATACCCCACCACAGTACCCCACATTTCTAAAAAAAAAAAAAAAAAAAGAAAGAAAGAAAGAAAAAGGAAAAAAAGACATCTGGGGTTAAGAAAACAGTAAATTAGGTGTATGGCAATAGAGTTGTGGAATCACTATGCTGCACACCTGAAACTAATACTGTGTGCCAACTGTATTTCAGGAATTATATATATATATGTGTGTGTGTGTGTATAGTAATCTACAGGAATTATATATATATATTAGATATATATAATATATATGGTAATCTACATATTGGGCTGGAATCAGAAATCAGTGGGGATAGTTCAGATGATTTAAAAATAATGTTGGAGGTTGGAGAAACTGGGTGACCAAACAGATGAAGTTCAGATTTTTTATCTCAACTGAAAAAAAGAAAAGAAGAAGAAGAAGAAGAAGAAGAAGAAGAAGAAGAAGAAGAAGAAGAAGAAGAAAAGAAAGAAAGAAAGAAAGAAAGAAAGAAAGAGAAAGAAAGAAAGAAAGAAAGAAAGAAAAGAAAAGAAAAAGAATGAATGAATATGGGAGAACAAAGAAAAGAAAGAATGAATGAATGAATATGGGAGTACAAAGTATGGAGTCTTCCTAAAACCTCTTCCTCTTTAATCTCAAATTTCTAACCAAAGTGGAGACCCAACTGTCATTGGCGGTGCCCATCCTACATTTCCCCAACTGGGTCTTCAACCTGCCTCAGACTGCCTTCAGACTGCGCATGCCCCCAAATCAGAACCTGCCAATCCTCAGAGCAAAGGTCATCTGTTTATCCAAAGTGTGAGGATCAATCAAAGTCACTCAAAACCTTACAGGAAGAGAGAGTGACTGTAATAAAATACTCATTTATTAACAAGTATTTGTTGAGTATTTAATATTCCCACACAATTTTGTAGGCATCAGGGAACTTATACTGACCTGAACAAGAAAAATTAGTCACATTTTCTGTTGTTCCAAAGGGCAGAATCAATAAATAGACTCAATGTAACTCTTTGCTACTTAGGAAGAAATAACAGATTTTTTTTTTCTTTTTCGTTTCTTTCAACTAACATATGTTCAAATCAACATGTATCATTTTGACAGCATTAAAAAACACTTAGGACTTCTTTATTTTAAAAAAAAAACAAAATAAAACAAGAAACAGTGGCCTGATAAATAGAGGACACTTCCAGAGTAGATGTTTATGAAGACGGTATAGAGTACATGGTACAGGGTCAGATGTAAAGTCACTGCTGGTGTCTGCCTCAGCTCTATCCCTCCATAAAGGCCTCTTCCTCCTCTTGCTCCTCTCTTCCTGTCTACATCAGTCTTCCTTCCTTCCATTCCAAATATCTTCAGTGGGAGACGATTCTCTACACATTCATCTTTTATTACAAAATTATAAGGTATTACATTATAGATACGGAAATTAAATAAAAAGGCAAACATGAACAAGCCAAACAATGGTCCACAAATCATACATGGCTTTTTAAAACTTGTATTTTTTTTTCCTTTTTCATTGTGTGGCTTCTCTGTTAAAAACAGTACTAATAAGGGGCACACCTGGGTGGCTGAGTTGTTAAGCATTTGCCTCTGGTCAGGTCATGATCTCAGCACCCTGATATAGAGCCTGACGTCGGGCTCCCTGCTCTGCAGGATGCCTGCTTCTCCCTCTCCTGCTCCCCCTGCTTGTGTTCCTTCTCCCGCTTTGCCTCTGTCAAATAAATAAATACAATCTTTTTTTAAAAATGCAACTAATAGGGGGCACCTGGGTGGCTCAGTGGGTTAAAGCCTCTGCCTTTAGCTCAGGTCATGATCCCAGGGTCCTGGGATCGAGCCCCACATTGGGCTCCTTGCTTAGCAGGGAGCCTGCTTCCCTTCCTCTCTCTCTCTCTGCCTGCCTCTCTGCCTACTTGTGATCTCTGTCTGTTAAATAAATAAATAAATAAATAATCTTTTTTTAAAAAATGCAACTAATAGGAATCATGTTTAGTCACCTATATCCAATTAGTGAAACTGGTTAGGGTTTGTATTTAATGAGATTTACTCCAAGGATTTAATTCCCATGTGAGGCAGTTAGTTTACTCATATACCTATTAGACAATCTACCAGGACACCATGTTCCTAAGTATCAGAGTATGAATCACTGCAAACATATTAGAATGAGAAAAGCAATGGAAAGTACATTTTCTTATTGAACATCTTCATCTACAGTCAAATGATTCTTCAATAAATCATGTAAATCTTTTGGAAGACTTCCATAAGATTATGTGTAAATGTGTTAAAAATATTAGAAATGTTAATTTGAAATCTGGTCAAAAATAGGGGCACCTGGGTGGCTCAGTGGGTTAAGGCCTCTGCCTTTGGCTCAGGTCGTGATCCCGGGATCCTGGGATTGAGCCCCGCATAGGGCTCTTTGCTCGGTGGGGAGCCTGCTTCCCCCCCTCTCTCTGCCTCTCTGCCTGCTTGTGATCTCTCACTGTCAAATAAATAATAAATAAAAAATCTTAAAAAAAAAGAAAAAGGTACTCCACAAACCTTGTAATCTGTTTTGCTTTCTACTGTGAATAAAAATGTTGTGTGTTCTCTTTCTCATTAGTGTCTGCCCAATCCAATAAGAACAATCAGTATATAAATCTGAATTTTTTTCACAAGCATTTTGGATGGTTCTTATGGTCACAGCAGAGTTGGAAGCACTGTGTTAATATCTTTTCACAGCTCTGGTTCATGTAATTATGTTCACAAGCTGCACCTACCGTTAAAGAAATAGCACTGAATACTAGATTCCTTGCCAGCAAGCCAGCTACAGGCACGAAACGCGATACCCAATTCATAATCTTGGCCTCATGGGCATCATGCTCTTCCCTGAACTACCCGGCCCAGGCACTGTTTAGAGTATTTTTCACACGTTGTCCATGTCAGGTCTTGGAGAATACAGTCAGAGGAATCCATAAAGTTAAAAAAATGAAGAATTATAAAATGTTAAGAATTTAAATTGTTTCCTAGGCTGTCACTATTGCCATATTCTTTGATAATTCATCCAGTCCCTAGACATTAGGATTCCCAATCTTAAAGGAAACATGTTCTCCTCCTATAAGCAACTGGCTGCTTTCAAACAGCAGCTCCAGTATTAGAAGCCGAAGTTAAAAATTCTGATGCCATAAAGATGTATTTTACATCATTTTAAACTACATATATTTAATTCACACCTGCGGTATGTTGAATCATAATATTTTTATTTTATTTTTTGCAGCAAGGAGGTGATTTCTCAAACTATAAACATTTCAGTACATTTAATAACACATATGATAGAAGTGGAACTAAATTTCACAGCCAGTCTACTTATATCTAGACTATAAATTCTTATGTTTGCCAAGAGGTTGAACTATAAACATGTTGGCAATGAGCTGGATTTAAATTTGCTTTCATCAAATGTATTCTCTTATCTAAAAATAGCTCACCATGCAAAGGTCAGGAAAGCCAGACAGAACAGATACCAAATCATTAAGATTAAGGTATTTATCTCCTAAAATATATGTATGTGCATAACTCAGAAGTAACTAAGTTAAATTATACTTAGCTTTATTCAACACTACTACAAAAATCTCACTTCTGCCACAGCATGTATCATTTGTTTATATGAGGTCAGTTTTTCATTTAAACGGAGTTTTATTTTAATGTTCAAAGTCCTCAAAGATATCGATATTTGATAAAGCTACTTAATGAGACTTTTGAAGTAGTAGAGTGAGGGGTTTTTTTGTTTTTTCTTTACCATAGTTTTTTTATTCAAATTCAATTAGCCAACATACAGTACATCATTAGTTTCAGATGTACAGTTCAGTAATTCATCAGTTGTGTATAACACCCAGTGCTCATCACATCACATGCCCTCTTTAATGCCCATCACCCAGTTATCCCATCCCCCCACCGCCTCCCTCCATCAACCCACAGTTTGTTTCTTAGAGTCAAAAGTCGCTCATGGTTTGTCTCCCTCTCTGATTTCCTCCCATTCAGTTTTCCCTCCCTTCCCCTATGATCCTCTGCACTATTTTTTATGTTCTATATATGAGTGAAACTATGTAATTGTCTTTCTCTGATTGACTAGAATGAGAAGCTTTTTTTTTTTTTTTTTTTTTTTTTTGGAGTAAACCAGATCTTCATTGTTGACAAGGTTTACTTGAGTTGCAGAAATTTCCCTCATTTTAGCCTGTACTCCCCCATTCAATCTTGACTGCCACAACGAGACAGACAGAAAGCGCGAGGATTTTTTTCTTGCATCTCTAGTGGAAACCTTGAATGAGAAGCTTTTAAGTAAGAGTATGACTGGCCTAGTTCTTCTAAGAGGTACACTCAAAACTAAGAAATAATACAACATGCTCGAGCAGTTCTCTCACTTGGTGTGGTTTTCTGTTAATTTCAAAGAACATTAATACTGATCATTCATCAAGGAGAGAATAAAACAACCTGAAGATCAGGTTAGTGGTATTTTGGACACAGGCTGAAAGAAAGCATACCTTTCCCTCTCTCCTTCCATGGTATCATATAAACGGTTGGCACCTCCATCAGCACAGGCTCTCAAAAGGGCTTTAAATAGAAAAAAAAAACACCAAAGAACATTTCAATATAAGCAGCTTAGAGCAGTACTTCGTAAATAATAAACAGATGATTAAAAAATGATCAGACACACACTCACACTTTCCCCTTTGCATCTTTTCACATTTAGCCAATGATAGCTGCACTGCAAGTGATCCTACACAGCACTCAAGACAGACAGAATCACCTAAGACAAGAGTGTATTTCCTTTTCGTAGCTTTTTCAATTCCTCTTATTAAATAAAAGGGGAAGAGAGTACAGGGTGTCTTCAATCTCTCTTGAAGTTTGTTTTTCCTTCTTTACAAGAGAAGACAGGTCTCATGCTCAGTAAGAGAAAACAGGACATAGATATCCCTTTATGACCTTACTTTATTAATTTGTACAGATGTTTTCTATTTATGGCAGGTATAGGTTTCCATATTTTGTTTTGATATAAAAAGTTTCTTTTAAAAATAAAATCTTAGGGGCTCCTGGGTGGCTCAGTGGGTTAAGCCTCTGCCTTTAGCTCAGGTCATGATCTCAGGGTCCTGGGATCGAGCCCCACATCGGGCTCTCTGCTCAGCAGGGAGCCTGCTTCCTCCCCTCTGTCTCTGTCTGCCTCTCTGCATACTTGTGATCTGTGTCAAATAAGTAAATAAAATTTTAAAAAAATAAAATAAAATCATAAACATAACATTGTAAATTTATTTTAAAATATTAAGTGAAAATTTAGAAAATGTGTGAAATACTGTAAAAAATTTTGGGAGGTGGCACAAAATTAAAATTTGGTAAGTAATAAGATATTTGAGTAAGACTGACTGTCTCTCCAACTGGGGCTTTTAGGTCTTGCCTTCACTGTAAGATATGATGTTGCTGATGAAGTATTCCTTGAAATTCTCTTACTCCATGTGCTACTATTTTGTTGTTGCTGTTACTTCTCTAATTTCCAATTTTCCTAGAAATGTTCAGTATCTTAGCATCAGTTCCCTCTTTTCTTCACTTTTTAAAATATCCTTTACCTAAAGGTTTCAGATCAAACTTTATTTTTTACCCTGGGTAAGGACAGTGAATGCGGTTATGTCTGAGATTCTGATTCTTCACCCCAAACAACGGGAGCCTGTCTCTGGTCCCCACACAACTGTTAAAACCGAAGTCACTAGAGCCACAAAGATCAGTAAAGGCCTTGGCACCAGCAGCTTTGAAAAAAACACACTACTCTTTTGAGATATTTCTTTGATTCATGGCACTTATGAAATCCCTTTCCTCTTTATGCAAACTTATACATTTAAAAGTGTTTATACTATTTACCTCCAAATACCTAAGTGTTTAAAAGCAGTTAGAATATAGTCAAAGATATCTAATTAGCCCTTTGGCAGAAATAAAAGCCCTAATGTGTTTTCTACTAATCCATAATATGCGAGACTATTATCTATGTTCCATGTTTTATCAGAAATAAAACAGGGCGCCTGGGTGGCTCAGTTGGTTAAGCAACTGCCTTTGGCTCAGGTCATGATCCCAGAGACCCGGGATGGAGTCTCACATCCTGCTCCCAGCCCAGTGGGGAGCCTGCTTCCCCCTCTGACCTTCTCCCCTCTCATGCTCTCTCTCACTTTCCCTCTCTCTCTCTCTCAAATAAATAAATCTTTAAGAGAGAAAAGAAAAGAAAAGAAATGCAACAGGCCAAGTGGCAGAAATATACTCCTTTTTTGCTTCAGCTTCCTCATCTGGAGGTGGGGATAATATGGCTTAGCATTACTAAGCAATTAATGATTTAGTAATTGTATATATTATTTATCAGAACACCAGAATACAGTAAGCATTCAATCAACATTGGTCCTCTTCCTCCATTTTTGTTAGAGTCATTATGAAGTGATTAAAAAGCTTGTGTTGGGCACCTAGGTGGCTCAGTTGGTTAAGTGACTGTCTTTGGCTCAGGTCATAATCCTTGAGTCCCAGGATTGAGTCCCCCATCGGGCTCTCTGATCACCATGGAATATGCTTCTCCTGCTGACCTTTCTCCTCTCATGCTCTCTCTCTCTCTCATTCTCTCTCTATCAAATAAATAAATAAAATCTTTAAGGAGTGCCTGGGTGGCTCAGTGGGTTAAGCCGCTGCCTTCGGCTCAGGTCATGATCTCAAGGTCCTGGGATTAAGCCCCTCATCGGGCTCTCTGCTCAGCAGGGAGTCTGCTTCCCGTTCTCTCTCTGCCTGCTTCTCTGCCTACTTGTGATCTCTCTCTGTCTGTGTCAAATAAATAAAACCTCGAAGGAAAAAAAAAAAAGCTTGTGTTCCTAGACAAGGAAAGCCTAAGCTACTAAAACAGTGCATAAAAAAAATAAGAGTTTTTACAAGGATATTTAAGAGGGTTGGCTCATTTTACCAATTACCTACAATATACATTTCCTTAGGAGGAATGGCAGCCAAATTCAAATTAAGCCACAAGCATAACATGCAGAAGGTCACAGAATATTCTGCACATTTCCTAAATATCAAAACCTAAAGTTCAAAAGCATCAAAATCTAAAATAGGTCTAACATATAAAATATGGCATAGAACAAGTGAACAGAAAGAGTGAAAAGACTGATAAATAGAAGCATATGGGGAACTACCAGTAATCACCCTCCGAGTATATAAAACAGTTATCTGTAAGCAAAATTAACAAGTGTATTAAATCTTTTTATATAAAAATTGGTTCACCCAAGTAATATGAAACGCTAAGAAATAGGTTTTAGTTGCTAAGGATTATCAAATAGAATGAGCGGTCAACTTCACAGTGTGGTCTTATTCTACAAAGATCAGTTGAATTCAACATTTACACCTGTTATGTTCCAGGCCCTAAACACAACAGCAAAATGAGTAACAGACAGATCTAGGACGCCAGGGTGACAAGTGAGCAGAAGAAAGACCAAAGCAAGTACACACACACACACACACACACACACACACACACACACACACACGATGCGCTGCGGACTCTGACGAGTGCTAATAATAAGGGCAACAAACTTCGACGGGAAGACAAGGAAGGGAGAGATGAATTTTGAGTAAACATCTGCTTATTGATAAATCCAGCTCCAGTAAGATTACTGTTACTTTCACAATACCAAAACTTTGTCTAATGTCTGTTACTTCCTATGCCTAAATTTAAATTGATACTTTTAGAGCAGTTTATGGAAAGAGAAATATTTAGATCATAGGAAGCAAACTTGTCCCCATCTATTCTTGTTTCAAATGGCAAAGGGAGCAAAAATAGCCATGAGTAAATCTATAGACTTTTTTCTTGCTACCTTTCGGTTAAGAGTAGGGGTACAATCCCACTGAAAGGAAAACAAGTTCCCAAATGTCCCTGAAAGTATTTTGTTTTCAATAAAGTTTGACTTAAAAACAAAAGATGTATTCTACCATTTTTAAATGTTAGTGATAAAAATGTTTTAGCTAGTTTGAAATACTTTCCACATAATGTAAACAAAATTTGTAATAAATATATAAAATTTAAATTATATATAATATATATAATTTAAATTTATATAAATATAAATAAAATATGTAAATAAAAGTTAAAAAATTACATTTGAAAAATAAAGTATTTCAAGCATAAATAATGCTGGCATGAATTCACTGACAGCACTTGGAAAAACGAGTTGCAAGCATGACTATTAATGAAAGTAACAAACTTAAAGAACCAGAAGTAGAAGGTACTCTAAAATATTTTTTATAAGTCAGAATGAATCAGCCTCAAAAATCTGTTCACTCCATCATTTAAATTGTTCCAAACTTTAATATAGGTTAATTCATGAGTTATCTGGTAATGTAAAATTTTCATTGGCGTATATACAGCAAAAGTTTTGCATATTGTCAAATATCATAACTTCAAAGGTTGAGCAATTATTTCCTATGCATAAAGCTGATATACAGCTAAAGACTAAAATACATTAAAATCATTAACTTTATATACTGGTACTACCAGTAAGTATATTAAATGCATCTGAAACTAACAGGTCTTTTTTAAACTGGCATAATGTAAGTTAATGTTACTGACAGATAATGAAGGGCTCCATTCAACATCAGAGGTTAACTGGCTAGTTCATTAATTTTTGTTGAATAAAGTTGGACAGAAATAATTTGACTTTCTCAACAGCAGACTATTATATTAGTTCCAAGTATTAAAATGAAGGAAAAGTAAAATTAGTCAAAGAAGCATTTTTCAGTTTAACCGCAAGAAAACCAGATATCAAAGATTTCAATTCTAATCTAGACCACTTATTAGTTCTATGACTTTGAGTTAATCCAAAGCCTGCTGATTCTAATGTAAAATAAAAATTATTATATGTATTTTGCCAAATTCACAGAATTTTTCAGGGACTCGAGGGAGACAACATAGACAAAACTAGAAGGAAGTAGCATAGGGAAACATCCTCTCACATGCTGTTGAGGACAATTTTTTTTCAAAGATTTTATTTATTTATTTGACAGAGAGATCACAAGTAGGCAGAGAGGCAGGCAGAGGGGGAGGGGGAAGCAGGCTTTCCACTGAGTAGAGAGCCCAATGCAGGGCTCGATCCCAGGACCCTGAGACCATGACCTGAGCCAAAGCCAGAGGCTTAACCCACTGAGCCATCCAGGTGCCCCTGTTGATGACAACTTTGAGGGACAGGTTGGCAGATTAATAAAAATTTAAATGTGCATCCCTCTGATCCAGAAATTCTATGTAGCCTACATAAACACTTGTCCAAATTCACAAGGGCTTATGTACAAGGATATTCATTGTGATAATATGTGTAATCATGAAAAACTACTAGAAAACTTAACTGGTCACCAGTTGAATATTGGTAAAATATATCACAACTATAGTAGAGAACCATTTAAAAAAAAGGGTAATTCTTACCTGTATTTGTTTTTATTTTTGTGATTTTATTTATTTATTCATGAGAGACACAGAGAGAGAGAGAGAGGCAGAGGGAGAAGCAAGCTCCCCAATGTGGGACTCAATCCCAGAACCCTGGGATCATGAC